CCCAACACTCAGGAGGCTGATGCAGGAGGATTAAAGGTTGGAGGCCAGCCTTCGGGTGACACCCCAACACAAACAAACAAGTGCTCCCTTCCTTTTTGGAGCTTATTAATTTTGGTGTGTGGCTCCTCAGTTTCTAGTTGATCAGTTGTCAGTGAACCCTTGAGAGGCTTACAGCATCTGGTTTCTATGAATAATGCTGCTTTGAGCAAGCGTGAACAAAACATTTTTGAGACCTTGCTTCCAATTCTCTTAGATACATACCCCAGAGCACAGTTGCTGGATCCTATGAAAATTCTACTTAAAAAGTTATTTTGTGTGTGTGTGTGTGTGTGTGTGTGTGTGTGTGTGTGTGTGTGTGCATGCACATGTGTACAAGCCTGTGGAGGGGGGACATTTGATCTCCTGAAGCTGGAGTTACAAGTTGTGAAGTTATAAGCCATATGACACAGGTGCTTGGAACCAAGCCTGGGGGCCTTGGAGGAGCAAGAGTGTGCGTGCTCCTAACCATTTAGCCATCTCTCCAGCCCCGTGGAATTCTATTTTTGTTTTGTTTTTTGAGACAGGGTTTCTTCGTGTAGCTTTGGAGCCTTTCCTGGAACTTGCTCTGTAGACCAGGCTGGCCTCAAACTCACAGAGATAAAAAAAAAATGGTTATGGTTATTCTGGTTATGTGGACCAGGACAGTTCAAGGCTTGCCAGTGATTGTTTTGCAAAGTGTAAACTCACAGAATGCAACGTAAGGCACGTCTGTTGGCACAAGCCTATAAATTCTAGCGTTCAGAAGGCAGAGGTGAGGAACACCACAAGTTCAAGGTTGGCTTGGTTTAACAGAGTGAGTTCTGGGCCAGCCTGGGCTACATAGTGAGACTGTATCTCAAAGTAGGGAAATACGGTGCCTAGAGTGCTGAAAGTGCCATGTTTGCCGGGACCTTTGCACTGCAAAGGCCACTGCAGGAGAACAGCACACGCCAGGTAGTAGCTGCTAACCCAACAGAGCCAGCAGCAGCTACAGCCACAGAGAGGAGGGAAGTAGAGTAGCCCGCCACCCCCCAAAAAAAGCTGCACTGCATTGCTGCTTGCTACCACAGGAATGTAGAGAAAAGGCTGGCAGAGCACAAAGAGGAACCAGAGCTATTAAAAGAATGGAGGAATTAGCTCGAGACGAGTTCCGAGGATAACTTGGGTCATCTGTTTTCCCTCTATAGACTGATACACCATGGTCCAAACCCACAAGGAAATTAGACGGTGTCTTAGGTAGGCAAAATATACTAGACGCGTTGTAAAGCCTCTTTGGAAGGGGGTCTAAGTTCAATATTAGACCCAAACCATCGATACCAGGCTCTCTACAAGACGAGGATAACCAGACCAGAAATCCAGGAAGTGCTATATTTGGAGCCCTCTGCACTGAAAGCAGTTTGTCTTATTGGAGGCAAAGTTCATTCTTTCTACAGATCCATTGAGTAGCACAGGGCACTCCGTCTCTGTCTTTAGAAATTAATCTGTGTGTGGTCTGCGTGGTGTGTGTGTGTGTGTGTGTGTGTGTGTGTGTGTGTGTGTGTTTAGGTGCAATGGTGTGGGCTTGTCGTTTCCTCTTCCTGGGAGAGGGTGAAGCAGGAGGATGACAACTTTGAGACCTACCTGGACTACAGAGTGAATTCTAGGTCAGCGTAAGCAATTTAGTGAGACCCTGTGTAAAAATTAAAAGGGAAAGTCTAGGGCTAAGGGCTTGGCTCAATGATTGCTTTGCATGAACAAGGGTCTGGCTCAATCCCCAGCACTGATCATGTATATATTTATATTATTTATAAATATATAGTCATGTAGAGCAAATATTTCCTAGTTCCCCATTTCTTTCAGCAAGTGATCAAACTGAAGTATCTGAATATAAGCCCCTCCCCTTCCCCTTTCTAAGATGGTTTGAGTGTGAAGGGCCCGCCGTAGGCTCCCCCATTGAGGGCTTGGCTGGCATTGACTACCTCACCTGAGGACTCTGATTTTATGAGTGAATTAATTTCATGGCCTTCTTAGGAGGTTATGGAATCTGGCTGAAGACAGTCAGTCGAGGAATAAGACCTGGGCTGGTGAGCGAGTGAGGAGCTGGTGTGGAGACTGCTAACTGGAATGCAAGCACACTCCATGCTTGGAGGTGTCAACTCTGAGACAGCACCCGTGAAATAGACAGATGGCGAGGTCGGGGTGCTGAAGAATGGCATTCTCTTGCAGCACCTGGGCTGCAGACACAGTGTAGGATTGATCAGCAAATAGCACTGAAAGCCAAGGAGGAGACAGCTGGGCATGGTCGTGCACACCTTTAATCCCAGCCCTCAGGAGTCGGGGACAGGAGGATCTCTATGAGTCCAAGGCCAGCCTAGACTACTAGTGATTTTTAGGACAGGGCTACACAGTGGGCCCCTGTCTCAAAAAAACCACCATGGAAAAGATGCTGTGGATATTGTTTGAGTGTCCCCCAAAGGCTCAGGCTTAGGAACTTGCTTCTCCTATGGAGATGCTGAGGGATGGTACCTAGGAAAAGGTGGTGATGTCATCTCTAATGAGGTGTCACCTTTGGTAGAAATTAATGGAGTTTCAAAGAAGCTCAGTCTCCCAAAACTCAAATTGTTCAGAAAAAAGTCTGGATTCTGAATCTTTGTTTCTTCATTGTGGGAAGAACTAAGTATATATCAACAACAAAATATAAATACATCAACAACAAACAACCACCACACCATCATGACACCATCACCACCACACCATCACCACCACCACCACCACAGCCATCACCACACCATCACCACCACAGCCATCACCACAGCCATCACCACCACACCATCACCACCACCACAGCCATCACCACCACACCATCACCACCACCACAGCCATCACCAC